TGTTATATTTGGATTCTTTCTTTTCTACAATAAAAATATTGAACTCAATCACAGACACGTATATGAAATCAATAAAGACACATATCAAAAATAAAGAAAGATAGTTCTTGTACCAAATCGTGAGCCATACGTGAATAACCCTTCCGACCCATAGTATGGAGAAGCTTCTGACTACTTCTCATTTTGCTGAACTTAGAACTTTTTTCCTATCAAGGAAAACAATATAAACCAACAATAATTGACTACAAAGTTTAAAGTTCATACGAAAATATAACTTACTTGAAAATCAGTGGAAAGAGAATCTTCTACAAACTTCTCCCATGCTTCTTCTGAGGTTATATTCTTCGGTCTAAGAAGGGCAATAGTGCGTTTTCTATTCACGACATATGGTACTTGACGTTTGATATCTCTTCTCAATCTCGATTTGAATGTCCTCCAATATGTTCCCATACATTGAAATGCCATTTTTTGATGGCAGTCATTGACATTGAATCTTTGCTACAGTTATCACAAATATAAAAAATGGTCGATATATGATTGAAAATGGCAATCAAGCTTTGAAGGAAAAATGTATAACCAATAATAAAAAAGTATCATATTAAATAAATGTACCTATATAAAATTCCAAAGTTCAATTTTTTTACTGTCATCCACCGAAGGCCAATTTTTAATAACAACTGGCACGTACTCCCGCACTATGGCTTCGGCTATGTTGACAAATCTATCAGAGTTATGGCCAACTACTTGCCCGAATTCATTGAATTCAAGCTCCATTTTCTGATAGTTATTTTCAGCAACTATTTTCAAATGAGTTGGACCTCTTTTTTTTTTGTAGCATCTACACTTGTCGAAGTCATGTTTTGATCACCAGTAATTGGAGTAGACATGGTATCTCTAGGTTCACTAGAAGGTCGTAGTCTTTTATTTGTCTCCTGAATTGCAACAGCAATCGCAGCGCTTCGTCTTTTAGAACTCTTGGAAGCTTGCTTATTTGACTTAACCAATGCAACATGAAAACATAGCATAAAGTTAATTATTCACGAAAGTTACCATCTTAAGAAGTGTATTGAAACACACTCACCTGAGCTTTATCCATCATGCGTATATTTAATAATATCACCTAGTTCCAAAAAGCCACTTGAGAAAGTACAAATTTGGAAACAATAAGAGAAAGAGAATGATATTCAAAGTTCTACTAATTGTAATTTAAACAGTTATATGTATAACAACATTTACCAAACTAATCAATTTATATATCACATAATATGCCTTCAACATCTATCCTTGCAAAATTCTCATCCTCCTCATGATTGTCTTCAATTTGTGTTACATCCAATGGAATAGTTGCCTCATAAGAAGTATCTTCTTCCATATGTAACGCGTTTCAAATTGTCCATGTCCCTCGTGAAGGTTAACCAAAGTGAATCCATCTTCCTTCTTTATTCCATTCACAATATTTGCCCAGTCACACTTGAATATTGGAATATGAAATGTATTATAGTCAAGCACTATAATATCGCGCAAAACTCCATAATAAAGAACTTTTCCAACAACATGTGCATTATCTTTTGCACTAGATCTACAGATGGCTGTTGCTTCAACTAAAATGCCACTGTTTTGGCGAGAGTTTTCAGCATCTTTAGTGTGAAATCGAAATCCATTTATTACAAAACTGGAATATGACATGGATTGACATCTAGGGCAACGTGCAAGCCACTTTAAAGTATTTGAAACATTGTCCAGCAACAACTGACCCGTAATCTGTTATGAGTATAAACACGTTAGGAATAAAAGAATAAACAATAGAATTAAATGCTAATCTGGTCGATATATGTACTTCAACCTTATTGTGCAACCAAGTGGCAAACGTGTCAATATGTTTCTTATGCAACAAATTCTCATTTCGTCCAAGTCGTTTATCAGAACTCCTGAGTTCACTCATATGCATCCTAAGTAAAAAACAATATATCAAGAAATCTCGAAGAACTTAAAATCCCAAAAAGTATATACTTCACGAACATACTATACGTATGGAGCCACTTCTACACTATTCAGCAATACTTAGCGATGGGCAACTTTTAGCATCTCATTAGATAGTACAAGTGACTTTCCTTTGGAAATTGGACGACCTGCAACTAAGAAGTCACTCTCATACTCTTCATTGCGTGCAGGCTTAGAGCCTATTTCAGATGCTTGTTTTATGTATTTGCTACAAAATATTGCATTTTCTTCAACAATATATCGTTCAGCTATGCACCCTTCAGGTCTTGCACGATTCATAACGTACCCTTTTAACACTTTCATATACCTACACATTTTCCAAAAAAGTAATGAAGTAGAAATCAATTTGATAGTGGATTTAACTTCTGGGGATAAGGAGTGCTACCTCTCAAATGGGCACATCCAACGATATTGAACTGGTCCACATAGACGAACTTCTCTTCCAATATGAATTGTTAAATGAACCATTATATCAAAAAAG